ATTTATTTTTGCTTAATTATGTTTTTTATGCGAATAAATAGGAGGTGAATTATCGATAACGATATTTTTTATTTTTTATGAGAAATATAATGGTACAATAACAAATAATTATTTTTTCGAGAAGTACAATTAGACATACGTGAGATGTGATCATTTTTTTTTATAAAATGTTATTTGTGTCGGGCTGTTTTCGCATTAGTCGGAGCTGGCTTGCGTATGCGCTTCTCCTCTTGTAGGCGATCGTCTTTTGGTTCATACTAGGGTCCTCGTTTCAATCCCCCAGCGTCGCACTCTTATTGTTCGCCCTTCTCATGAGGTGTATCCTTGTTGCCGGTTGAAAGCTGATTGTCTTATCACCCTACTGATCGCGCCTACTCTCTCTTTCTCTCTCTCTCTCTCTAAAATAATCGCATCTCCGCGAGGTTCGCGTTGCGCGCTTAATATCGACTATCGAATGATTGACGTGTCACTTACCGGTTCGCTGATATCCGCGCTGTAAACATCTTATACAAATAAATACATAGCAATATTGTAACGATCTTCAACTCCCGTATAAGAAATAACACGAAATAATTATAAAAAAATGTAACTTTATTTACTACATAACCCTAGTGACACGATTTAAGGCTACCCGACAACTAACTAACTTTACAACAACAACAACTGCTTGGCAACCTTCTGATCTTCTTTTCTTGACGTTCGACTGTCCGACATATAACATTATCTCCTCTTCTTTCAGATTATCGTCCCGACAATCTCAAAACTGAAGGAAAGGTTGTCTTCTTCAAGCGGGTTGATCCTCGACTCACCATGCCAAAGGACCCGTCTCTTGAAAAATTAACCTCTTCTTCCAAATCCAAGTAAAGATAAAATCCTCTCCAAGCGGGCTGATCCTTCGCTCATGGCCAAAAGGGCCCGTCTCTTGAATAGGCGTTCATCTCTGCTTTTGAAATCTTGAAATCTTCTGACTTACAAGCGGCCTGATCCTTGACTCGATCACCTCATCGAAGGGGCCGTCTCTTGATAGTAGAATAATTTCATAATCATCGTTATCATCGTCATCATCATCATCATCATTATCATCATCATCATCATCATCATCATCATCATCATCATCATCATCATTATTGACATCTTTTTACACGCCGTCAACATCGTCGTCGCATCATCTGTTTGGATAAGAGTGGGGAATTGACACGTCGTGGATCTGCATCTCTATCCCTGCTCCGACATTCGTCCTGTGGCTCACGGAAAAACCACGACTCAAAACAACCGTGAGCAGAGCAGCAAAATCGTCACATTCAATTGTCAGCCAATCGATAAAATGGAATCTTCTATCTCCAATCAATCGAGCAAAGCCTAATCGTCTACTTCTAGGAAAAAACCTCACATCAACTAATAGACAAGCGCATCAACATGTATAGAGTGCTCCCAATGACCTCGAACACCAAACGACTTTCAGATCTGTAAAATCGAAAAATAGTGAGAGAACAAGTTTGGTGTTATTTCCAGTCACTAGCCTCGCCAAAATCCTATCTAGTTAAGATACGTGACTCGCGATAACTTAACCTAGGAAAATTTGACTACCATCGACTACGCTTTACAAACTTAACCTGATCTTTCTCATTAAATTACGAAAATCACAAATAATCTAACAAGTAACCCTAACAATCTATCTAAAATATAAAAATTGACTTAGCTGGTTTTCGTCCACGCCTAAAAAAATGCGGCTACTAAAGCAATACTGTCACCAGCAGTTTTTATTTGAAATGGTACTCGAAGCGGTGTTCGTGGCGTTTCTCCGGACATAGTAGTCTTCAAGAAAATCTTCGGACGAGCCCCCAAAATGTAACGATCACCAACTCCCGTATAAGAAATAACACGAAATAATTATAAAAAAAAGAATGTAACTTTATTTACTACATAACCCTAGTGACACGATTTAAGGCTACCCGAAAACTAACTAACTTTACGACAACAACAACAACTGCTTGGCAACCTTCTGATCTTTTTTTCTTGACGTTCGACGGTCCGACATATAACAATATTACAAATATATTTATTACTGGCTTCGTAGAGGGAGAGAGACATAACAAACTACAAGCCGTTAGTTATAAGCTACAATTTTCTTTTTTTCTTCTATACGACCATTTCTCTTCGAATTATCCCTTGTTGAAAATGACCCTAAAAATTTGGTACTTGTATTTTTTTATATTCCTTAAATTTTATGAGTAGTGTATATATATATTCTAAGATTTAACAATATTTTGCCCGGAAAATTTGTATTCTCATGTACTTCCAATATAAGATATGAATTTCGGCTGAACTTTTTATCTAATAAATGTGTAAGTTGTTTCTAATTGAATTTACCTTATTACTTCTGTTGTTAAGAGTTATCTTTTATCCATTTTTTTTAACTTTTATTTTTCTGCTATTTTTGTTCACTATCATGAGTTTATTTGGTAGTTTATTGAAATGAGTAACAGTCATTATATAAACCTTTTCAATCTATATTTTCCTTATTCTTTTTAAGAGTTGTAAGCTGTTATATCTTCTTTGTTAATTTTTTTTATTGAATGTTTTGTTGTTGTTCCTTATAAGTGGTATAATAGAGACTGGAAAAAGAAAGCTTGTTTAATGTTAAGTTTTCGTCTGATATAAAGTGGCTTTTATTTACTATTTTGAATAATCTAGTCTGTAGGTTTCTAAGTCCTATTTTCCTTGAATAAGCTCTTCCCCATGCATTCCATAAAGATAGCGCTATAAAAAACCTTTTAATAAAAAATTCTTAATTTTTCTGTACTCATATTTCTTGATAATTTATGGAATATAAAGATTAGATATATGGTTTTATTATACAAATGTAGAAAATGTAGGTCCCATTTCCTGTTAATGTGAATTATCATACCTAGATATTTTATGTTGTACACTCGGTTTATTCTTTTACCTTGTATATTTATTTTTAATTTTTTGGCGTTGTTTGGGTTGAGGAGTGAAATTAGGTGAAGTTAGACTACATAAATTTAAGATTTATTGAAACTATAAAGTAACAAATATTACTACTCTAAATTACAGCTAATAGAGATAAAAGTTATAGTTAAACCAAATGACACTAATAGTAAAGTACAAAAAGATCGCTTATTGTATGAGCTTCTGCAGACAACTCTCGCACAAAAAAAAATGGTAACGCTACTTTGCCTAAATGAGAGGTCGAACGGTTCTGCTCGATGCGCGCTGAACGAGTCAAAAAAAAGACTTCGGTTTTCCCTTTCTCGCTTTCCCATTGTTTTCCTTTTTTTTGCAGCTCAAGGGCCGTGGGGCATTGCTTGTTTTCGCTAGCCGCTAATGCTGGTGTTTTAGCCTGCTGTCCCACTCGCCTCACGTGTCTCGATTGGTTTTCAAGTGGGACCCACGGCCCCCGCTCTTGATTTTTTCAATCTTCCAGTCTTTATCTCGAGATAAGATTCGGATATACAGGTTTCCGATCTGCTGGTTTGATTCGCAAACTAACATCAGTTCTGGCAATGCGCATGCTTTACTTGAGCTTATGGACAGCAATTTTCGTTCACAGGTGCAACGTTCAAAATTTCGAGGAACTCAACATCTCGATTTATATAAAATTCCTATTATGAACTCGAAATTATGTCAGCACGCATCACGCAGAATCGCACGCACCCATCCAAACTTGCAGCTCGACCTCCCCCCTTACATTCCTTTGCTTTCGGCGCTTATTAGTAATCTTAAAATTAATAAATTTGGTGCTACTGGCTTACACATTTTTTAGTTATTTTGAGAAGTAGAAACGTTTCTGAAGTCGCATTTCTCATTGGATACAAGTCTTTACATATTTGTCATAAAACGAGACGGGAAGGTCTTTTATTTCTCGACAAAAGGTCTGCGGAAACTCGAGAGAAAACATGTGTGCGCTCCGCGGTCGACGTCGGGTACTGATTTTCTTACAGGCAACGCTCGTTGATGCGGTCGTAAATTATTTCTCGGCACGCAACGTGCTTTCAAACGTCTTATAATTTGGGTATCGAGCGAGTAGCGGTTCAAAAATGCGGTTTCGCGTAAGTCTGAGAAAAACACGTCGCAATCGTGCAGTATCTCGTTCGCGCGTGATTTTGGTCTGATTATTTTATCATTGTACATAGATTTATTCATCTGGAACAGGTGTACTATTGGAATTGTTACCAAAATCGATATAAGCTGTTTCGTCAATGTTGAGTGATAATTTATTCAATACTGATCAAAAATCTCCAACTGTATATTCATATTATTTTCTACATCATGCCAGTTCTCTCCGATTGAAATGATGTCTGTGTCATCTACAAAAGAGAGTATTATGCTCTCGGGCAATGATAGCAGCATAGTATATTATTTTATGTAAATTATAAAAAGCAGTGGTCCTAGGATAGTATCTTGTAGTACTACTGTATACACTATTATAGTTTATCTCTGCAAATTATTTAGCTTGACTTTTTGTTTTTTTGTTGTATAAATAACTCTTAATAAGATTATGTACTTATTACGTACTACATACATAGTGAAGTAATAAAAATCCCCATAATTAAAAAAATGATGTATCCAATCAGTAGTTATATTATTATTACAAAAATATTTAATAGATTACCCAAAGAACTGAAAGTTTTATAAGGTAATAAAAATTGGTCAACAAAAACTAAATAAAATGGATTGCAAGGAATATATGAAAGTTTTCATGATAAAATTCAATTATATTTTTATTATTGTATTTATATTACTTATATTAAATTTCTTTTTTTTTAGATTAACTTTATAATATTTAAGTTTTTATGTATATATTTCTATATAACTCCTACGAATTAAAGAAAATATCCTAGTGGTTAACACCAGTGAACCACTAAAATATTAAATGTAATTCTATTATTTTTGAAATAATATATGCATTCGGTAATATCATTGTTTTCTAAATAATGTAGATTTTTTATTGTAAAATCGTATCATTTATGTTGTTTCAGCTCAGGAAGGTAATGTTCTGCGAGTGGAATTTCGGGATAAATTCGATCTTGAAGAGGAGGACAATTGCAAGTATGATTTTCTGGAGGTACGTGACGGTGCATATGGGTATTCGAGGCCCTATGGTAATTATTGTAGGGCCTTTCCTTTCCCGGAAATCACCTCGAGCTCGAGATATCTATGGTTACATTTCCACAGTGACCAGTACATAGAGGGTACTGGATTTCGTGCTGTTTACAGTGAAATGCCTCGACCAAATAGTAAGAAGCAATTGCGATACTAAAAAGTGTTTATGTAATTTTCCCGGCTAATTTCAACAAAATTTTGTGATATAAATATTTGACTTTACATAAAAATTAACCCATCATTAGGCGTCACTTTAGCCTACTACTGATCCCATAAAAAATGTATACAACTTATTTCAATTATTAATCGATGTTTTCAAGTCAAGACTAAGGAACCGAAACCATGTGTGATACACATAACGCACCACACGGAGTACGTAATTAAAACATCGTCAATTGAGAAGGAGAAAAATGAAGCTATCGAACAGGGAACAGAATTAGATTGCTTATGGAATATAACCGTAAAAGAAGGCTATAAGGTAAACCAATTAATATTGGCGGTTATAAGCGCGATTATTATGGAGCTTTTTTTATCACATTTTGCTGTTAATGTAATATTGAAGAGATTGCCAATGAAAACGATACATCGCTTCCCGTGACCTTACATCACGTTGCCGATTGAGACATTTACCCTTTAGAAATTTATTGACGCGTTGTTACCGCAGTAACACAATAATCCACTTGTTAACGTAGTATGGTGTAGGGAAATCAATTTGGCATTTGGCAGTTGGCAACAATACAATTTGGCAAACAGAGAGAGAGAGAGAGAGAGAGAGAGAGAGAGAGAGAGAGAGAGAGAGAGAGAGAGAGAGAGAGAGAGAGAGAGAGAGAGAGAGAAACAAACCATGTAAGAGAGAGACAGTCAGAGTGAGAGAAACAGAGTGAGAGAAAGAGAGAGAGAGAGACAGACAGAGTGAGATAAACAGACAGAGTGAGAGAGAGAAACAGATAGAGTGAGAGAGAGAGAGAAACAGACAGAGTGAATGAGAGATAGAGCGAGAGAGAGAGTGAGAAAGAGACAGACAGAGTGAGATAAACAGAGCGAGAGAGTGTGAGAAAGAGACAGAGTGAGGGAGACAAAGAGAGAGAGAGAGAGAGAGAGAGAGAGAGAGAGAGAGAGAGAGAGAGAGAGAGAGAGAGAGAGAGAGAAAGAGAAAGAGAGACCAAGGGAGGAAGAACTTGTTGAATCAAAACTGAATGAAAAATTGCACTGAAAAGTTTTCTTTTAACCAGACTACAGAAGTTTTTAGTAAATCCTCTTGTAATGAAAAAATTGTAATAAGAAGATAGCCTTTTATGAAAAAAGTATTTTAGCTTGGAGCAAATGAATTTTTTTGTTACAATAAAATTCTCAATAAGAGTGTTTACGAGATGAAAATTTTCACACGTTAACAAGAATTTTTTTGTGGTAAGAGAACTTTTCTCAGTACAGTATGTCGAATGAGATAAAAGAACTTAATGCCAGTACACAGAAAATATTCTTACTATTCCTGACATAGTTGAAAAATGATCTCCTTTTATGAGGACAGAAAACTTCTTACAAGGAGAATGCTTGTGTATGCAAAAAAAATTCAGTTTAAATTAAATGTCACTTTTTATACAAGAGAACGTTTTCTTTCTTTGAACGGATCTATAAGTGTCCTCGAGCCGGATTCCTTGTTTGTCCTCCTTTAATTCGTTTAGGTATAATGTCCACAGGCGAGGATCAAAAGGATTCTTCTTGATCCAAGGTGGTTTTCATTAGAAAAAGTCTCAAAGAGAATTTCTTTTACCTCAAGAAGATCCTCTTGATTCAAAATGAAGTATTAATACAAGAGCCTACATATATATATTATTTTACGTGACGTTAATATAAGTCTATCTTGACGTTACTTTAATTTTCAGATTCAAATATCGTTTATATCATTCAATCTGGATAAGCCAAACGAGTGTGATATCAACTATGTTCAAATGTACAACAAGGAAGCGAATATGCCGCACAATCCCAAACTTATTGGTAATTTTTGTGGTAGCATTGCTGACCTTGTGTCTAGCGAGGGCAACGAGGCGTACCTGCGATTTTTTGCGACAAAAGCTGCCATAAATAGTAGTTTTGAAGCCCTCATAACAGCAACGCGTGAGAAACCACAAGGCAAATGTATGCCACACTTGTTATGTCTAATTCCTTCTGTCTTCGACGACTATGTAAATGTTTGTGTATATTATTTTCAAGCATGCGACAACTCAACTGAATTTGACTGCCAAGACGTGTGTATCGATAAATCGTTGACCTGCAATGATCATTACAACTGCCGTTATCGGTTTGACGAGGATGATGAGATTTGTAAGGTAAGACGTTTTAAAAATAATCGATCGATTCGATAACAGTAACACGCAGCCGCGATACGATTAAACATGTGAGTTGGCGAACCTCGCAACCAATTAATTTAGCGTCGATGTCTATCGACTTTTTGCCTGTACGTCTAGTTCCGTTCTCTCTGCTTTCGATTTTATGGCCTTTCGAGAGAAGAAGAGAGCTATGTATACTTGGCACGCCACCAGGACAAGCGATGCCTGCACAGTCGATTAATCACAGCAGAGAAATAATTTTACCTCTCTTGCGCTTCTTTATTGTTGAGCTTCGTTCGCTCGTATGGCATTTGATCTACTTGCAGATTGTCGCCTTTAGTTCTTTTCGATAGTTTTCTGCATATACGTATCTCTAAATATTTTTGCCTATATGAACTGTTCGAGCAGCCTTTTCTGGGTTTCTCACATTTGTCACACACTCCACCCAAGCGATCATTTGAATTTTACATTTATGCTACTTTTTAAGTTTATTCAGCTATGTTTTTAACTTTAAATATTATCAATCATTTTTACCCGTTGAGTCGTTAGTCTTACAAACTACAATTCACGCACTTTTTTTTCATTACGTGAGAAAATTAATGAAAACAACACGCTATGTACAGATATGTATGAGGTCAATATCATTTATTCAGATAATTACAGTAAAGTTATATTATGCAAAACTTAATAACAAGGAAGTTAAAGCTTGAATATTTCAAATAATCAGTTTTAAGATAATATCATTTATTGTCCGAAAAGAGAAATCATCATCATTTATCATTTTTTAATAAATTGTCTGACTGCCAGGCAAGTTGAGAGAGAATTCGTTAAGAAACATCTTAGTAAATAGAACGTAGAGGAAATGGAGCTAACAGTGTTCCGTAACTGCATCGATGAGGCTCTCGACGATGTGATTAGATTAGCTGGGTTGTCTCTTGGAAGGACGGGTAAGGAAGGGAAGGCAGGTAATTGTTAAGCAGCTAGCTTGATCGGAAAAGAGTTGGGTCAATTTAAAAATGTCGCAGTTTCCGCACGCCATTAACGAGCTTGATAATCGCACGTGATGCGATCGACCTTATGCTAGCCGAGAGCTATGATAATAGAACAGGAAAGCTCTCCAGAGCAACGAGGCCCGTAAAAGGCGCGCTGAAATTTTAGTAATGAGTTGAGAGAGACGAAGCAGCAGAGCGCAGAAGAAACGGCAAAAGGAAAACTATTTCAGGTACTTCCGGAAATCCTCTACTTCATTCTCGCTTCCGCGAAAAGGTACCATGGTAATGGAAGATCTCCTGGTTGCTTGCAAGGAGGTATTTAAAATCCGGTTATCTTTTGTTTCATCCCTGATTTTGGTAATTTTCATATCTTCTGGCTCCTTAGCCATTGTAATGACCTTATCCCTTCTTCTTTTGATCCTATTTCACTCATTAAGTAGATTTAATATTGCTATCCACTTGTGGTGATAAATAACGTCCTACTTTAACGATGTTACAACTATAAGTAACATCGTTACTTTTGCTAAAAGTAACCAAAAGTACGATATTAAATAACAACGTTTAGTACTTTCTCAGTAGTAAAATGTTGGCTTCTTTATTGCCGCTAATTGTATCCGAACACTTTAAATTATGTCAATGCATAGTACATTATGTATATTGAAGTTGTTAAAGAGGCGGTGCGTGAATGAAGGATATTGCAGCACGAGTCGAGGCTAGGCAAGCACAAGCTGAAGACCAATACGTTCTGCGAAATGAGGATAAATATTGCAAATATCCGCAAAAGACTCCTTAGGTGTTAATGATGCATACTACGACCTTTGTCAAGCATGTACAGACTTTGTGATTTCGTTTCCGCAAAAACGAAACTAAATTGATAGATTTAAAAATTTTTTAAATCGACATCTAAATATTGTTCACAATTCTGTCAAGTTTAAGGCTGACAAGAAAAGTCGAAAAATTGACGCTTGAAATTCCGATGTAAAATAGTTTTTGCGAAATAAAAAGTAGGCACTAATACAAAGCTCATGAGACAAGTTAGAAAGTATAGCTTCGGGCTAGAATAATTAAAGGTATATATACTCGTATGTGGTTGAGTGAGATTTGACACAAGGCAACGCCGAAGTGACCACAGGCTCGTCAATTTCAGCTGCTTGGTATGCTAGCTCGTTGAAGAGGCCAGGGCGGAGCCTGTAAGTATCTTGGTCGCTCCGTTTCTGCGAGCTAATTTTTTTTCACTGTCGCTGCCGGCGGTAGCTTGATCGTGCTGTAGCAAGGCTCTCGACAACGAAAGCTCTCGTCTCCACTTCAACAAGTTCGACGGTGACGAGGCCAGAGTAATTATATACTCCTTATTAGGTTGTACGTCGATGTCTTATCCGATGTCGTTAGTGGCTGGCTGATCCTCCTTATTCTTGCCCTGCCACTTGAATAGAGTCTTCAATTTAGTCGAGTTTACGGCGCAGTTGCGATACGGATTCTACTTTGATCACACTCTTCGATGCATTTTCAACTCGGCTTTCCTCCTTCTCGAATGTCCACGAAACAGCAATCATTAGTTTCTAAATCCACGAAGTGATTTTCCTGGAAAATAATTTGATTGCAAAAATCGCTCGAACTGGTTATGAAATATAATAGCCGTTACTAGCTTTTTCCTGCAAGTGCCATCACTTTATCACATTTTTACCAATACCTTTGTTTCTAAATTACGAATTTTTCGCAAATTGTCGTCTGCATGTCATATTCGACGACAAGCTACACAGTCTATGAGTTATTACAGTTACGATCGAATAATTCGAATGGTGCATTTGAAAAATATTCCGGTAATCTAGCGAGTACGTGCTAATTGGCTGCGGCGTCACAGTGACCGTAACCACCAGCGCAAAATGATTCACAGGCTGCGCACGTGCATAATATCTATTGTAGTTGCCAGCATATCTATCCGCGTTGCGCGACATTGCAGCCAGCGAAGAATATTCGGCTGTGCAAGTAAAAAAGAGAAGCTTAGGGTGCTGGGAACGCCTGATCGTAGGCATCGACGACACCCGAATTGAGAAACAATGCTAGTGTAGTAGGCACACGGGATGGCCCGTGAATATAGTCATGAGATTGTCGGAGAGGAGGCTGGGGCGATAGGATCGCGGATGTAGCCCGTAAATCAGGCGTAAGTAAAGTATAGAGGGCGCACGATCGACTTGGCGACACAATGGACAGGCAGCGGGCAGGTCGCGCGTAACTCAGGCTTTACGCGCGAAGCCAGGCAGTAAAGACTGTTTACGGTCTGGCGCGCAAACTTGAAACCGTTAACGACTCCGCAGCGCCCATTGGAATAATCAGAGTCGCGCAAACTTGACCGGCGCGCCGCTCGCCCCTCTCCCCCACGTACGACTCGATAAATAGCCTGCGGATAACTTGGCCGGTAACGCGTACGTCAGTCCGCTAGGCAAACGAACGCGCCTGCAGCCTGCCTTAGCAGTTCGCTCTGCACTTGGTTATGTTCAATAGGGTACTTCAATTGTTTATTCGCGTTGCAGAACGAGGCCAGCAGCTTGAATCTCAATTCTCAACACGTCATCATCATTCTCGTGGTCTTCTCGTTGCTTCTGTCCGGCCTGTGCTTCAGTTGCATCTACAATTGCACGAAGAAGCTCATACGCGATCATAAGATCATTAAGGTGAGTAAAAACTCCACTGCTCAACTGGGCTATTAGTTTCACCGTTACGATCGCAGCGCCGCACCTTTGTGCGCACGTCGTACGCTTGATAATACTGCGACGGCTATACGCGAACTCCTTCAGAATCAACCAATATCGAAGCCGCGCGAGCGCTCAATTTTATGGGTCTATCGTGACGTGCTTTTTATGACCCGCTCGCGCTTTGCGGAAACACAAAGGCTCTTACTCGTTCACGCTGACGCTCGTTTTCCTTTTGTTCACAAGTTACCTTCCTGCAGGATAATACTGCTAGAATAATATATTGCTTGAGCATTCGACATTTTCATATTCCTTATTGGTTACGGTTCATTTTCCTGGGAAAGTTGACCGTTTTGCAAATCACTCGAGGGAAGCACTGATTGTGCTTCGTCATAAATAATTTCATACTAAATTCAATGTTTCCATAAAAATTTTTCATAAATCCTTTTTTGCGTATAATCCACGCAATATCAGAGCAAACTCACTGCTGGATAATGGTATTGTTCATTGATTTAGTTTAGCTAGCGTACTTGATTAGAATCAAATATGCGAGCCGTCGAGAGCGAAACTTTTGCCAATGCTCTCTAGTGAATATCACGACCGATCTATCATTAGTAGTAAGGACTGTTCGTTACGTTCGAATAATCAAACGTCGCTTTCCCAAACTGGGATCTCAAGTTTCTGTAAAAATTCTGGGTAAACGGAAGCGAAGAAGAGCTCGATGGGCCATCGGCGGTGGGCCGCGTAATTGATACCAACGGCAATTAAAGTAAATACGGGCGTGTGAAAAGTGGGCAGCAGGCAACTCCCCGGGGACCTTTGTCTTCGTTGGCATTGTTTATCCCAGCAGCGCGCGGACGTGAAAAATGCGTTAAAGTCATTAGCAAATATAAAAGAAAATAGCGCGTTGGATAATGGAGCGTGAAAAGCTGACCTCCCCCCCCGTGACGGCGCTCGCCACGCTTTAAAAATACACGCCGCGGATTTGTTTCGGCAGCGCGCATCCCCTCGCAGCTCGCGCGCTCTGTCTCTCTCGCGAATTCTATTACTTATGATAAACGGCCGAGGCACAGCGCGAGAGAGCGTGAGCTGTGTAGCCCGGGAATTACAATGAGTACACGCCCCCCCACGGCGCTGCTCTTTGTCCACTCGGCCACACTCTAGCGCCAGTATGGAAACGCGGTTATCTCTGCATCTGGCTGTACTGCGGTCTTTTAATCGCGCGCAATATGTACGCGTCGAGTGCTTTCGCCCTCTACCCGTCTCATCGACCTGCATACGCGCGCTAGTCGTTCCCATTGTTTTACGTCGAGTGCCGCGCTTCGCGTCACCTGCCGATGCTACTTTCGACGTGCGCGCCGCGCCGCCTTCCTTTCATTCGCATCACGCCCTTTATTCATCGGCGTGCGCACTTCAGCAACCATTCGTTAATCGACAATCGTATTTAATTTGCACTCGTGTACTGTGCGTGGATTGTGCCGAGCTTGCGGTAGAGGCGTGAAAGCTGAAAAATATCTCTGCCGTGGCTGCGTAAAAATACTGAATGCGCGTTAATCAACGAGCAGTCGTCGCACTGTTATTAGCTGCGACGATTGCACGAAACTCCACAGTAAAATAACGCATCGATTGCGGGCTGATTCGATCCGCAATAAAACATCAACAATAATAAACTTCTTCTCGACAAAGCAGGTATATACGTACGTGCAATGATGTTTCGATTTCGCTGCACTCGATACGGGTTACTCGATCCATTTACATTTTGCTGAGCTGCCGGGGCTTCAAAATAATGCCTACACGCCGAGCGCGTACCTATGATCATTCAATGATCTGTGTGACTCGTGCCATTCGATCACCCGCAGCTTTACGTTTGCATATTCGTTACCGTTCACGTACGAAATAACGAGTTCGAATATATACAAGGACAAAGTTGGATTATCACAAGACGGCCTCGTAGACAAAATAGATTTAACTCGAGCATCAGCGAGCCGACTAAAATCGATCGTGTTTAACGGAGCAATGTAATTCTCGTCGATTTAGGAGCACATCCGCCAGTCGCGGGAGAAGAGTCTCGACGAGTTGGGCCGTAAGTCGGTTTCTCTCGTGGAGGCTTGCACGGAAATCGGCGGTGATGGCGGCGGTGATGGCGGCGGTGATGGCGGCGGTGCTGGCGACGGCGGTGGCGACGCTGACGCGGACGCGGCACAAATGGCGCACATCCATCGGGGCCAGAGACAGCACCGACGACAGCACAGCAGCGAGTCGGCGACCGGGACAGCCAAGGAAGTGGCCAGTCCAGTGACGATGCTTGGTTGGCAACGGGTCGTGCAGCATTCGGTCGATCTCAGCGACATCCACCAGAGCAACAACGCCAGAAACGCCAGTCACGAGAGACAACTCCGTGAGTCGGGCGAGCGCGAGACTCGCGACATGGAATGTCAGACAAGAGAAAGCATCTTCGACACGAGCCTCATACTCAAACCCACGGGCTTTACTACATTTGGCTATCCAACTGTACGTATATTCTACTTCTTTTTTTCCCTCCCCACCCGTGTTTTCTCCGTTATTCGCTTTGTCTCTTCGTGTGCACGTGCGTTCGACATTCACCGGATTTCTGTCTCGTACTTTGACATTCGGATCCGAATTCCTTTTCAAAATCCTATCGCCGTTGTGAATTCAACATAAGCAAATACAGTTGGACTTTACAAGTGGAGTACGACGGATTGGCTTTGATCCCTTTCAAAATCACTGCAACTTAAAATAACCAATCGATGCTATTCAACTTGCAATATTCAAAGTTGTCCAATAGATCAATATCCGATCGGCGAAACATTTCGGTAGCCGGCGGTTGTAAAGGAAGCGGTAAGAGAGCCACAGGCAGCCTCGTACGCACGCTCGATGCTCAGGTGTTCTCGCGCGTGAAATACAACCGCGAGCATGCAGCACAGTAAAGCGTGAACCTCAACAGAGCGTGTGCTTGGCTTTACAGCCGGCGGGCTCGCGCAAGCAGTCGCTCGAGTACCATCCGAGCCACCACTACCACCACCACGCGCACCCGCACTACCACCCGCACGCGCAGTCGTACGAGCAGCAGCACCCGCACCACCGGCACCAGCACTACGCGCATCGGCCGGTGGCGGACGGCAGCAGCCCCGAGCACCCGACAGCCAGGCGCTGCGCGGCCTGCCACCCGGACCCGCTGGTCGCGGCCGAGCCGACGCTGCTCTGCCCGCGGCACAGCGACACGCCCATCGTGCCCGCGCCCCACGGCTGGTCGGCCCACGAGTCGCTCTACAGCGCCGAGGAGCTCGAGGCACTGGGCCGGCTGCTGCCCGCGCCCGAGCCGCCGCCGCCGCCGCGCGGCAGCCTGGTGCGCCAGCGCACCGTCGGCTCGGGCGAGAACTACGGCTTCATCTACGGTTCCGAGCGCAGCCCCAGCAGCGCCGCCGATTCCGCCGCGGCGCCAGCCACGTCCGCCGCCTCCTCCCTGTCGTCGACGGCCCAGTGCCCGCAGTTGCTGGCCGACTCGCGCTTCAAGACCGAGGCCGTCATCGAGGTCGACCAGAAGCGGCCCTTCAGCATAGAGAGCACCAAGAGCGCGCCCGACGTCATCGCCACGCACTGACGCAGGCTCGCTGGGGACTGGCGCTCCGCTCCACTCAGGTTGGTTGCGCGTGCCCTCGACTGCTCCCGCGCTCCGTGCGTCGCTCTCCTCAACGCCCAGTCTGTTTCCCAAGCAGTGAGAGCCATCCCCGCGGGCCGGGGTCTACGCTGTTGACGGATCCACAGGCCGCGCGGCTCGAGGAGGCCTCTTGATCGAGGACCCGCTCCCCGGTCTTCCACGAGGCGGAGCTGGCCGGTTCGCGCCTGCTGCTGGCCGGCCTCGCCGAGCCACTGACGCCGCGGCGCGGGGCCTGCCCGAGGCACTCCCAGCTGCGCTTCCTCGACCAGACCTGGCCGCGGCGCGGGCCATTGAGCGCGAGGCCGCCGTCGGCCCTGGCCAGGAGCTCCGCCACCCAGTGCAACCTGGCCGACTTCCACGCCTTCGCTCACAAAGCTGGCGCCTCGATACCGGTATAATTAGACCAATCATGCCAACTGCGGATGTGACTATAGTTTTAATTTTGTTATTACTCTCGCCCGGTTGCTCGCCAGTTTTTTCGCCTAATGGATAAGCGGACAAGGCAACTTGTGTCTTTTGTTCTTTTTTTTACGAGAGTTACCCGGCAAGTAAGATCGTTGAACGATTCTTCACGAGTTTTATGTGCGTTGCAAGCGCTACGTACGACGACCAGGTTTGCTTGGAAAACCATATAAAATCGCGTAATACTCGGTGTCAATTGTTCGAATTTATACAAATCAGATGCACATGCGTCAGAGGCTACAAACGAGAGCTCGTTTTATTTTTTCATTCGTTTTTTTAAAATCGCGTTAGAAATCATTTGCAACTCTACAGCGAAGATACCGCTTCGTCTAAACGACATACATAAAACGGTGCCCTTTTCTAGAAACAATGAAATCAAATCTTAATTTTTTTCTCCAAATCTTACGGCTTCTCATTGCTCCCAATGGATATTTCAAATATCCTTGATATGAATCACTTCACGAAAAAGAATCATGTATAATGTGATACAATTTTTAAGAGTCTACTTTTGAGATGCAATAAAAGAGATTAATTTGTCTAGTGTCATCGATATCAATATTTTATCAAATTTTATTAAAATGTTTGCCCTAGTTGTAATATACGTACAAGTCAAACATGATCATACGTGAGCGTGGACCTAGTCGAAACAAGTTTTCAGTGCAACGGATATCCTTTTGTAAAGCACAAATTTTTATATCTAAATTTTTTAATAATGTCCGACGATTCCGACTTCGTGGAAGAATTTGTAATGAATAAAGGAAATATTCATCAAGATCAAACCTTATTGTCAGAAAATAAGCGTAGAACAATAAGAACATCGAGCTTTTAAAATATGTTAAAATTGTATATGAATAGATAAGTTTCCGTTTGATAAATTTTATAGTAATTTTTACTTCAAGTTATTTATCATAAGTTGATATTATACTATTGTCGAAAATTTACGAAATTTGTTGTTTTTTGAATGTTCTCGATTACAAATGCGAACTAATTACAGTTTCGCCTGACATTAAAGAAATCATCATATTAACATGGTCTCTCTTTTTATTCTCCTCCTAAATACATTATATTAAATTAGCATAGAAACAAACTAAAATATGTCAACTGTGAGCTGTGTAGTGAGCTGATATTTATATAGTTATATACAAGACATTAGATTTAACATGAAGCTTTAAGCAACTTCACTGTGTTACGAAATACGGACACATAATAATCTTTCATGTCACAACTTTCGTAATTTGAACTGGAGATAATGTACACCAAAACATCTGAAATTGCTGCTCAGACATCCAACGTCCTAAATAGTAAAACTCATTAGTTTCTGATGAAACAGCATTAAGTTTTTTGTATTTAATAATGTTCAAATGGATTCTATGATATCTTAAAAATTTGTTATTAAAATAGGATTTTAAAAGCACAGCTTTCAAAATTTTCTTTTTCAAATCTTCAACAATTTTTTTTTCATTTTTCAAATTTTATCAACATGAGTAAGCAAATGTTATATAAAAAGACTGATAAGTTAGAGTATAGCGATATATTTTGCTTTAATTTTGGTTTATATAAAAGTAAGAACACAAGCAACAAATCTAGTGGGTTGTTATGTAAATTTGCCATTGGAATAGTATATTTTCATTCTTTTCATATAGCTGGTTAAAGAAGTACATTACACAGAATGCAATTATAAGAGGGATTATTAATAGTATTTATTGATAATGGCCGGAAATATTACAGCTACAGTAACGCAAGCAGATATTCACGACCTGTGGAATCTATTAGAAAATATCAATAATTAAACACAAAATTTTGTTTGCGTATTTATTGGGTTATTTTTATTTTCAATTTAAAAATTGTTTTTATAGTTTGAGCTAAAATGTTTATTTATAGAATTATTTCAATACCTAATAAACATTTTAATAAACTATAAAAAAAGTTCAACAGCTTAGTTAAAGAAAATCAATTTCTTAAATTTTCTTCACAGTTATTTTAAAAACTAAACTTTATAATTTAATAGTTTTTATAGTTTGAATTAAAATATTATTATCAATAAATAAGTGTTTTATTTCAAACTATAGAAATTTTTCAAATTAAAAAGGTTAGTTTAATATTCTAATAAATAAATAAATATGCATTTTAGCTCAAAGTATAAACATTTTTTAAATAAAAATGGTTAGTTTTTAAAATAACTATGAAGAAAATTTAAGAAATTACATTTTTCAACCAAGCAGCATCAAAATTAATAAATGAAACGGAATAGGTGTTATCACTTACTGAGTCATTTAGTGATTAATTAAAAAAGATTGACATTTATAATTAAGCATGAAAATAACGAAAAAAAAATCAATGAATTTTAGTACTGAAATGAGAAGTATCTTGCAATATGCGATATGTACCAAAAATAAATCTATTCATTGCAATCTTGTACCAGGACATCCTTAATGTATAGCAGTTGGGAAACGCATATTTTACTGGATAATATTCAGAGCTGCGAGGAGATGCGGCTTGTTCGTTAGTAAAAAATGCAACGCGTGCTCGCTCGTCTACGCGAAAGATGGAAAAATAAAGTGAAATTAAGCAAACAGAGTGAAAAGTAGAAAGAGAGAGAGAGAGAGAGAGAGAGAGAGGGAAGGAAAAGAAGCGCAAAGGCTAATGGGTCGGTTGCAACGCGTCGTTTGCCACAGAGAAAGCCACAGAGCGGGTCACGTGCTATGCTATGCCGCGCGCCTCTGTCTCGCGCGCGACTTTATCTCTTCCGCATAATTTGGAATTTATGTGTGCACGCGCTTGCTGATAGCTAATGTCGCGTGCGCATCTCGCGTTTTCACTTGGCCCCATCCCTATTTCGCCTCTCTGGCCGTCTCCTCCTGGCGCGCCCGACAGCTACGCAGCCTCTAGTCAGCTTATTTATGTGCTTTCACGGCCGCTTTCCTCCTTTGCGAGGCGCGAGATGCTTCACGACCATTCTGTTCTTGATGCTCGCTGCTCGCTAACCAAGCTTGTCGCTCGCACTACCGAGCTCACTGACGACCACTGCTCCGCATTTTGACGAGACCGCGCGCGTTCTCTCGTCCCTTGCATTGTTAGTCGCATTTTCATTCCTAATCACTGTTTTTATCTCTTATTTGCACTCGGTCCTTTCAAAATTTAACACATCTATCAATCTTCACTCGATATCCCATAATCACTGAGATGCAGCGCAATTTTATCCTTATTATTATTGGCTTTTTGCAATAAATCATGTTCATGGGAATCAATATCGAGCTGCTGTCACTACTTATCAAAACGCATTATTATTTCCAATAGCCCAATTGTTAATCGGGAGCCGTGGCGGAAATTGTGCATCATGCTTGACTAAAGAACGCTATAACTACGACGGCTTAATATATTTGGGACTCAAGTTCTCCCTTGCTAAATAACTGAAAATTGCCGATACACTAGATAGCTAGTGCCTGGGGTCACGAATTTGCGAGTTTTGGGCTCTTCGCGAAGTTTCCTGCAGCGCGCTCGCAAGCTCGGGGAAGCCATAAAGCAACGATGTAACGCTAGCAGTCTTTGGCGTGAAAAATCTGAACGCAGCAGTCGGATTCGACGGTAGCGTTTGGCTCATTAATTGTCGCAAGCGCTCGCGCGCCCGAATAAACTTCCAACGAGAAAAGCCATTACAGGCGAGGAGGGAGCGATCGCGACACGATCAGCGAGTTGGCGCGTTCGCTCGAGGCACTTCCAGCTCTGAGGTATAGGCGCGCCTGGACGCCCGACGCCGCGCGCGTGTCAAGGATTTGAAGGACTTTTCCCGACAAGAGCCAGCGGGAAGCGAACTTTTATAAGCGCGAGAAGTGGTCCGCGAGAGCAGCCGACCGCAATAGCTGGATTTTCCCAGCCAACCACTTGTGATTTATTCAGTTAATCAGGCCCTTTTTTTTTATTCGCTCTTACTTATGCCGGGCGGACTCGCCATAATTGATCACTATTTGAAAGATATTTTCTCGACAGCTCGAGGCCAAGAGAGCTTTCTGTCGAGACAGAATTACAACCGCTTTTCTCATTCGTTTCTCCTTCTTAGTTATTTAGCCAAGTGGGGCTTACTCCGTCCATAATGAAACTTTGCGAAACGAATTTCAAAGTGGCAAGAGCATTCGCCCATTCTTGCCCACTTGCATATAAGCGAAGTGACCTCGCTCTTGACAACCGACACTTGGAAGTTGCTCTGCTGCTGCTGATACGGCTACTAAAAGAGCGGCTGTGTTGAGCCCCGCTACGGTATAGGGCGATCTGGTTGATCTACTCTGTGAACGGCAGAGCCTGCCATCGTCAAGCTTTCCGTCTTCGGTGGCTCTCGCTCTTCCGAGACTTGACGGCCAAATGGCGCGCGGCTTCCCTCGCTTCGCTAACTTTTAAATCCCTTTCTATGTCGACCGTTCTCTCCTCGCGCTCGGTTGCCCCGTCACTTTGCGCGAAGCCCTCTCAACTGCCAAATGACTCCTGGGACTACGCGGATCGGCTGCATTGCAATCGTCTCCATAATTTACTTTCCCAGCTCTTAATACTTTTTATTAGAATCAACTTGCATCGTCACTGCGAGCAAGTAGCTTCGTTAAATTAAATATTCAATCTTTCTCCATTTAACGATTATTTCCAATTTATTTATTCATAAGAGGCTTATTCTTCAAAGATCATCTCTTCTTAATCCATTGCGCAGCAAATTTTCAGTTCTGTAAATAAGTAAAATAGTGAAAAATCCTCTTACCGCAAGGAAATTAATTTATGTCTCTCAAAGAAACTTAATGCTCTCTCAATTTACGAAGATCAATATTACGGCTACATATTGTGCCAAAATTTTCAAGATTGCAGTTATAATTTAGGCAGCGACTGATTAAAGTTGTAATACACCGACAGCTCGCTTTTCGCTCTCGAATAGTCGAACCACGTGTCAGCAGCTGTGAACATTGCTGACTATATCATGGTGAGTAGCTCAAAAAAGCCAAAAGTTACGAGCTGTTGTCAGCATTATTCATTGTAATTTAGAGTTAAATTTAGAAGGTGGCCTGAAAGACTATCGATTATAGGTGAACTTGATAATAAAAATTACAAATTAAAAAGTTTACGTTGTTGAAAGTAAATTTATGAAATGAGGCGAATTGAAATCTAATTTGAAGTCATAAACAATAAATAAGAGTATATACCTCTGACCGACGTAATTATATTAAGGCATCCTATCCCGTTGCATGATTCAATGGAGTCAAGGTGTCTACAGTAAATCAACTAGCTTTTCTTTAATAATTTATATTTTATTTCATGTCTTTCTTGTTTTTTGTATCATTATAAAATTTAGAAGGTAAAACAAATAGAAGCTCATATTTTAAAGCTAAAATGATGTCCTATACTACCACCAATCTATAAAATGTTATAACAAGTAATTTCGATATGAAATGTTATTTGACCAATTAAAATAGTGAAATTTGTATGCATGCTAATTTTTACTTGTAACTAATATCTATTTATAGTTAAAAAATTACTTGCAAAAAATTTCTGCTTTTTGCAAATAAAGTAGTTCTTAATGTGAAAAAATTTTAGATATTCAAACTTCATTCATATATACGCGAGTAATTTAGAAAATAAAATGCTCTTTTCTGGATCATGATATTGTGTAAAAAGTCATTTATTGATAACTTTTTGTCATATAACGTTTTTCAACGAAACTTTTCTGGTTAAAGATCTTCATATGTACTATCATACTACCGTTTAGAAACTTGTTAAGACTACTTAGAAGTTCAGTAATAAGCGTTGGAAATTATGTTGTTTTGTGTCAATTTCCCAGTATACAATTTTTTTATATAATGGCCCAAAGAAGCATAATCACAGTAAAACTATCCATTATTCACGAATAATTTTTATTAGTTTATGACCTAATAACAAGAAAAAACTTAGCCGAAAATCATGGGATTGGAAAAATTTTCGTTGTTCAGAGACTCCTAAAAGTGC